GTGCACAAACAACATGAATAAGAGAGACTACTCTCTTATGAGAGATGACTACTCATAGACACTGACTACTCATGACTACTACACGGAATACATTGACTACTCATACTCACTGACTTAGAGAGATGACTACTCTCTTATTCATGTTGTTTGTGCACAGCGCGGGCGTTCGGTGTACTTGTGTGTTGCAGATGAGCATTTGACAGGCATTTACAGGTGATTATAGGCGAAATAGAGTAGAGAAACATTAATTAAGACTTTGGTACATTTCGTGTTTATTTACCTTTTTTTTTTTTTATTGAGACGTTCCAAGTGCCTGTGCCCCCCACAGCCACAGGGACCTGAGGCGAAAAAAAAAGTGTTATATATATAATCAAGAGTAGATAATAACGATAGTAGTGTTATTATATCTACTCTTGATATAATTAAAAGCGGGAGTTAGATCCCTTCTTCTATTTAAATATATATAACACTTTTTCTTTCTTTTTTTCGCCTCAGGTCCCTGTGGCCCCTCAGGGTACTGCCGTAACGTACCCTGGGTACGTTCCGGGTACCCTGGTAACTATCTGATATGGTTGGGGGTCAGGGAGTAGGCGTAGGCGACTCCCTAGACTCGTTAGTGGAGTAGGCGAGGTACGGTCTGGCATATTAGATAGTACCAGAGGCGTGTTCAGGAGAGCGAACGCTCGCGAGCGAGTTCTTTACAAGATGGCGACGGGAAATCTGGCGAATGCGAATCTAACATTTCTGACGCCAATTTGCAATCTATTTCAACTTCATTTCATTTTTCATTTATTCATTTACTTCTAAATTCAATTTGTATCAATTTCGTCTGCTAATTCGTTTAACAGTACTTGTTCGAAGACATTAAAATCTCGCGATTAAAATCTGCTGAGTAACTCTCCATGGGGGCCGCCATCTTGATCAATCTTTTTTTATTCATCATCATCTCTATCCTTGAACCGACCCTACAGCAAGTTAATATATAGTCCGCAAATGCAGACGTTATAACTCCGCTTTGCTAATCTGAGGGTGCGGGTTTATCCATTACTGGGGTCTGCGTCGGCTCGGACTAGTTAATATATATCGACAATAATAGGCGAAATAGAGTAGAGAAACATTAAGACTTTGGTAGTAAATACATTTCGTGTTTATTTATCTTTTTTTATTGAGACGTTCCAAGTGCCTGTGTGCTGTGACTGTAAGAACAAACCGATGCCTGTGGTGCATATGCGGTATAGTACATTATACATAGTAGTAGCCACCAGTTACCTTCTCACTGACACTACGTAATACAATCGAATTTGTGTTCTCTCTGTGAGTCTAGAAGTGAGTGTGTGTACAGGCCAGTAACTGAAGTGAGTATAGCTCTAGTACTATATATATATAGTACTGGAGCTAACTGCCACGAAATGTCACCAAAGTCTTAATTAATTAAGACTTTGGTACATTTCGTGTTTATTTACCTTTTTTTTTTTTTTATTGAGACGTTCCAAGTGCCTGTGTGCTGTGACTGTAAGAACAAACCGATGCCTGTGGTGCATATGCGGTATAGTACATTATACATAGTAGTAGCCACCAGTTACCTTCTCACTGACACTACGTAATACAATCGAATGTGTGTTCTCTCTGTGAGTCTAGAAGTGAGTGAGTGTACAGTATAATATATATATATATTACCAGGAGCGTATAATGACAAAGGGACAAAGTGGTTTGTCATTATACGCTCCTGATATTACTAATACAAGCACATACAGCAATTAAAAAATTATCGCACATGTAGCAATTTTTGTTGTTACACGTACAGTCACCGCGTACGGCCACAAAATCATCATGCAGTGAATCCTTTACTTAGTCTTAGGCTTTACAGTTGTGCTGTCTAATAAATCTTTAGCGGTAGTCACCTTAGTCCCGTGTAGCCATTCACTTCCTTCGAGCTTCCTAACCATGCAGCTATAGTAGTTTAGCACATGTGCGAATACATGCGTGTGGGGTCCCAAACTAGGATTGTGCAGAGAATGTTACCCCATTGTTGAAATAGATCCAGATACAGGTTCAGATACACTGATTTGCACTCATATAATTTAACTCAGCACTACTCGACACTACACTTTCATGAAATGTGTTGTAGTGTGATTGGTTGGTAAGGCTAGAGTAGAGACAGGAGACAGCTTCATAGGGGCAATTGTTTTCAATTCGTGGTTCACCTTCGTGGTAGACAGAAATCACCTGGTCTGACAAAGTTTTGCCTGTGCGCATAGACTAGCTGTGTTGTTTTTTCAGTTGTTACAAATTAATCACCCAATGTGTGATCATCAACAATAAAGACAAATCATACATTGCCATTCTAGCAAATATAAAATGATGGACTGTAAAACATAATATACACCATTCCATAATATGTATAATGCATTTAGGTGACATTGTGTCATTGTTACTTTCTTTTTACTCTTGTTTGTTTTTATTGCCAGGAAACTAAGCCAGCAAGTGACATCGATTTCGTGTGCATCTGTGCTTCTCAAACTAGAGAACCTTGTTCCAACCACTGTACAGCGTACATCAATCTATATTGTCATGGCGACCCTCTTTGACAGCAGTATGAAGTTCGGGTTAAGTCTGTACCAATCACTAAAGGCAGAGAGTGAAGGTGAGCAGACCACACTATAACACCGCTACAACATATAGGTGTTCCTCTCCTCAAATATCTACAGCTATGATGATTTTTAAAATCTCGATTTTTCCATTGGTATAGCGTCTGTGGCAGTTCTTTAATTTTTGCCTTTGTTGTAGGCAAGAACGTTTGCTTTTCACCGTTGAGCATTCACGTCGCCTTGGCAATGACTCACCTTGGGGCAAAGGGAAAAACGGCAGCAGAGATCGAGTCTGCAATGTGTTTCCCATCACTGAAGCCTGAGGAGCTGCATACTGCCTTCAAGACATTGCTGGATGCTCTGGAGGCTGGGAAGAACAGCTGTGATCTCCATGTTGCCAACAGACATTTCATTGAGAAGAAATTCGCGTAATTACCTTAAAAATATTATTCTATTTATTTGATACTGCTTACAAATTTTAAAATACAATGATAAGCATGAATATATTTTTGTAGAATCCTATCACAACTGCTATTAAATTGACTGTAAAGGCAGGGTTCGTAGCGGGTCTTCCAAAGTCTGATAAGTACTTAATTTGTCAAAAATAAAATAAGGGCCCTTATTAGTACTTATTTTTGGTGAAATCTTAGAAAAGTACTTAATAGTCCTTATTTTTTGCAACCTACAATATTTTATATAAATTGTTTTATAAACTGTTCTCGACTTAGAGTAAGAATTGTTGTATATATAATACGGAATATAATCAAATCTGCTGTGCAATTGTTTATATAAATATTATTAGTGTACTTTAATAGTCGGTGATCTATCAGAAATCGCGTAAAAAAAGTCTTATTTTGGCCTCCAGAAAGGGTCTTATATGTCCTTATTTTAACATGTGTCTTAATACTATGAACCCTGAAAGGGTTGAAGTTATATAGCTTCCTAAGAATATAACTTTTTATTGAATTTATAACAGTTATGTTTAGTAGATAACATATAACTACGCGTAAAGGATGTTGTTCAGTGGCATTACCAAATAACACAATTTTTTTTATAAAAGTTAATGCTCTTATATTATAGCAGTCATACACTCATGATCACAGCTATTTCATGTTGATGCCTTCCAACTCGAATGCAATACTGAAAGGCTCAGTCTTCGTACAAAAGCATATGCTATATAATAATTTTGCTATCTTTGCATGTCACAGGCTTCTAGACACGTTTCGGCAGTCGTCGCAGGACTACTACGCAGCGGAGGCAAAGGCAGTCGACTTTGTCGCAGCCACCGAGGCGGCGAGGTTGGAGATAAACAAGTGGGTGGCAGACAACACTGCAGACAACATCACGGAGCTGATGAAAGCCGGATCGCTGGATTCGCTCACCCGCTTGGTGTTGGTCAATGCCGTGTTCTTCGCCGGGTCATGGGCGACGCCGTTCACACCACGAGGCAGCCGGCCGGTCGTCTTTCACATCAGCAAGGAGAAGAAGGCAAACATAATGATGATGTCAAAGACGGCACACTTCCCTCACTACTTCGACAGCAAGTTTACGTTTCTTGAGCTGCCCTACGGCAATTCTGAGCTGAGCATGTTCGTAGTTCTTCCACAAGAGATGGATGGCTTAGATGAGGTGAGTTAACTCAGTGCGTGTTTCTGTTAGTTTACCTGTTTTTTTGTGGTAGTCATCTCACATCTTTACTCTTGCACACCAAGAGAGGGTTAGAACAATTCAAGTCCTCTGGCTTCAAGATATGGGTGATATAGGTTGGTACTTGGTACACCTGACCGCGTGAAGGTAATTAGGCAGAAAACATGTTCGCCAAAGATCAGGGTCTCATTGTCCGAAATATCCCAAGTAGTTGGGACATGACAAGTCTAATGCCACAATTTAAAAAATTCCACCCCAGGCTGGAAAGTTTGGGTAGGTAGGTCGGCTATTTTTTAGGGGGGTCTTTTTACAAATTCAGCATGGTGTCTACATGCTCGGGTGTGCTTGTGTGGAGAAACCTTTTATGTTGAATGTTCGTTTTGCTTGGTACATGTAATGTATTGCCTACAGATTTATATAATGTACAGTGATACAACTTAAGAAGAAAAAAAGAATGGTCAAGATCAATAAAAAAATGTGAGTCGCTCCCTTTTTGGCGGGTCGGTCTGGTGAGGGCAAACAAACAATATTTTTATTATGGCCTAAACTGTCACAACCTTTAAAGCATGTATTACGAGATTCTTGCTCAGAAACACTCAATCCGAAAAAATTATAGTGAAATATAGCCTCACCCCACGTAACGGCGGATATATCACGGATCACAGCAGCTTGTAAAACACTAAGATTTTATGCAGTTATAACATAGAAAATTGGATATGAACACATCGTAAGATTCGTAACACCAGCGCATTTTATTGTGTCACGAGAATGACAAAATGGGTAAACTTGTAAATTGTCGGTGATAAAATTGAAAACAACTGCACTTAAGAGAGATTGTATGTCTATGGCAGATAGTTGGTGCTATTAGCTAGTCCAAGACCTACCAGCTCTAGTCCCAAGATTACAGCAAACGATCGTTTGCCAAACTGGTTCGAAAGGTGCAATGAATCGGTTGTATGTATCGGTGAATACGAAAGTCTTAAGACATTTTATCGTTATGCTAGACAGTTGCTGTTACTCAAGCAATAATGGTAGGTATAATGAAAGTGGTGAAAACACTGGAGAATTCTCGTAATTATGGCTTTAAAAGAGAGTGTCGTGTAAAAGTTATGACATTTTAGAGCTATGGCAGTGATAATAACTTGCGATGCTTCTGATGAAGGGCCCCTGAAAACTGGCATTCTGAAAAGTGCCATGCCAGCATCGTTATTGTCACCAGTACATTCAACGTTGACATCTTGCCTTATTGATGCTGTGGTTGGAGGTTTCATATCTGTTGAATTGCTTACGTTTTAGGTTGAGAACGAGATAACCGCTGAAAAGCTGCGTGAGCTGGAGACCAAAACTACGGAGATTGAGGTGATGCTGCAGTTTCCACAGTTTCAGGTCCGTGAATCCCTCAACCTCGTCAACTCTCTGAAGAAGCTCGGCATGTCGGACCTATTCAGCGACGCGGAGTGTGACCTGAGCGGGATTTCCGGAAAGCGGAACCTGTTTGTCAGCGCGGCGGTACACGAAGCGTACATGAGAGTTGACGAGCAGGGCACGGTGGCCACCGCCGCGACAGGAATCGGAATATCGCTGATGTGCATGCCACCGCAAATCGTTGTCGACCATCCGTTCCTGTTCTACATCAGGGACAGGAAGTCGGGCGCCGTTCTGTTTTTCGGCCGCTTCACGAAGCCCATGCACACTTTGTGCGTGTGCCCCTGTCCTACGGTTGGGCCCCCGCCAGGGGTCCGCCCGCCCATGGGCGTACGCGGGCCACCAGGCGTTGCTGCTCCCCCACCTCGCCGGTGAGCGAACGTCTCATTCCAGCCATGCTCGGGCATGGACGTGGATGGTGAATCATTTTCAATGTGAACTAATAGATTCGTTTAGAGGTGATTTCTGTGATAGATTTGAGAGACAACCCTATTGGATTTTACTGGACACTGTAGGCGTTTTGTTTTTTATGCATGTTGTCAAACGTTGCAGGAATAAGCAGCAATTGGGTTTTGATAGGCAAATTTGGCTATTTTAAAAACAAAATGCATTAAAATCGTGATTTTTCGGCCTAGGTCAGTCCGAAAACGGGTGTGCATACCCATCATTGAAATTGTCTAGTTGTAATGCCAGACTTCATGTGAAGCCATGTATACGTTTAATTACTAATTCATGGAATAGTTTAGCTTTTATGATACTGTATTTTTCTTGCTTTACATTGTATTAGAATCCATTGCTGAGGTTGCAGAACTGTGAACACGAAAAGTGCGAGTGTGTGTGAATGATCGAATACATGTAAGAATTCCATCCGAAATATGCTATGATACTTAGAATTTAAGTCTCTGTGCGTGTGTAATATATATTACACTTAGATTGACATATTATCTAATCTAGCCGATATAATCTAAAGTGGAAAATGTAATATATAATTATATTAAAATAGATTTATTATTCAATAATTGCCAAAAAATCGGTGCAAATGATATTTGTTTATGCGAATTTGGTTGAAGTATATATACTAATATAGCAGGACCTATGTTAACGCAGGGGCGGATCCAGGATTTTTGAAAAGGGGATGTCCTGGAAGAAATAAAGGGCACTTTTTCCTGCTTACTTTTTCTGGTGTTTTAAAAACGCTGCCGAAGGCCACTTAGGGGCGGGGGTTTGGGGGACCTCCCCCAATATTTTTTTTAAAAATTGGTGCATTCTGAGAGCATCTGAGCAGTAATTTTGAACTCTAGAATGCAAACATTTATCAAATCCGGTCCCCCGGACGCCTGCGGACCCCTCTTTGCCAATTTCTAGGTTTTTATAACGAATTTACATATATAAGTAAATCTTTATCAGAAAAACTAGCGCTAAACAAGATTGTTTTATGGAGACAATATAAGAAAAGTGTGTGTGCGTGCGTGCGTGCGTGCGTGCGTGTGTGTATGTATGCTTTTTTTTTCTTTTTTGTTGTAATAAGGGGGGGTCCGGACCCCCTCGACCCCCCCTCTGGATCCGCCCCTGTTAACGGCACTTGCACTCTATTGACACGTTCACATCTAGATGGCGCTATCGGTTGATGCGTTGCTGTCATTGTTCCTGGCTGCGGAGCCAGGCAGAGATACCTCTTCGCACGGTATTACTGCAGAAGGAAGATACTGTGTATATACGAAATATGAGCAGTACGAAGAAAGAAACCAACAAACATATTATCAAGCGCACAGAAACTGTGTCTCCGTGTGGGAAAACTAAAATAGTTTGGGTGCTTTTGATGTTATAGGAAGTTACCACTAGAATCTCGTGCAATAGTCATCACCAATCAGCATTAACAGACAATGCTGGATATACAAATTTGAACACAAATAAATGAATATGCAGGAAATCAATCGCATTCACAATCACGTCTTCGTTACGCCAAGCTAAGGCTTTAATGCGAATCCGTAATGTCATTATGCGTGTATTTTTACGAGAACGCAATCAGTTTCAACGCATTTTCACAACGACGTGACTCCGGCTAGCTAGCCCGGCAGAACCTAGCTGTAGAATTCTCACCCAGACGTTATAATACGCCAAAGGTCACGTTACGCTACAACGAAATCACCAGCAACAACCCCACCGACACTTTCTACTATACTTCAATAATAGAGATGACAGTAACCATTATCCAGCGCGAAGCTATAGAAATAAAACTGAAACATTGTGTAGTTTTATGCGAACGCCTCCCCCAAATACATGGCTACCTAAAAGTTATTTGGTAAACCCTATGTGTATATATATATATATATATATATATATATATATATATATATATTATTTATATGTGTGTGCGTGCGCGTGCGTGTGTGTGTGTGTGTGCTTGTATGCGTGTGTGCATGTCCGCCTGTGTGCTCCTGTGCGTGCGTGTCTGCGTGTGTGCGCCTTTGTGTGTGTGTGCGTGCGTGCGTGCTGCTAGTTAATCGTTTTATACAATAAATGACAAAGAATTTTAATAATTCTTCTTCTTTGTTTTTATGTCTGTCTGGACTCTGCTCATATCTTTCGCTCACTTACTGTATTCGCACCCTTGCCTACCTGTAACCATGTCTGCTGTATACGGCTCTCCCCTCTCTTTTCCTGTCTTCGCCAACTCTGAATATATATATATATATATATATATATATGTGTATATATATATATATATATATATATATATATATATATAACAAGAGTACATAATAGAGATATTGTACTATTGTACTATTATGTACTCTTGATATATAACTGTCAGCTCCTGAATATAAGAGAATACAAGAATATAATTAAGTAAAATTAAGAATATAATGGAAGCCTCAGCTAGCTTAATCGAGGCAGCTCAGCACGTGCGTAGTCATGTGGTTAATGAATCTACCACAGCCACTCTAGCAAACTCCACGACAGATGGCGCTCTCGCTCTGGCTCAATTCGACGTATCTTGAGTGAGCGAAGGGGCACTGCATGCAGTTTGCCACTCTAGTAGCAACCGCATGATGTTCTCGGAGTAGAATTTCATGTGACACTGTTTGTTGCTATTGGTGTATTGAACTTATGAGTGTGTGTAGCATGCGAGTTGCGAGCTGCGAGTTGTTAATTAAAAAATGGATGAGAAAAACTTCTTCTTACCGAATTTACGTCCAAGATACCGTAACGAAAGTAAAACCTACAGAAATATGGTTTATAAACTGGCGAAAAGAAATACGATTAGGGTCTTTGAAAGACATGGATTACTGGATTAAGACACTTAATGACCAGGATCGACTAAACCAGTTGTTCAATTGTTAAAACCAGTTGTTAAAAGTGGATAATTCAGTCCTATTCACTGGGTAGTGATTTATCCAGTGGATAGCGAGCGCTATCCACTTTTGAACAACCAGGGGCCAGGCTGTTTCGACCAGGCGCGTGGCCCTGGCGGGGGGGGGGTGCGGTCGCCCCCAAACCACCCCCCCAAAAAGGAGAGAGGGTATGGGGAAACGAAATGGGAAAAAAAGAAATCCATAATTCCCTAGGTAATATGAAGAATATCATAAATTTCACACCAGAATGTGAACGAATTTTAAGTTAATGCAAATAATTAATGAAACTTCTTACTTCTCAATGTTTTTATGTTTTTGTGAATATTTGGTACAATTAATATTATGAGCTACAGGTTTACACGCTTAATATCACGAATATCCCATACAAGGATTATCGATCTTGCACTCCCCACAATACTCTAAGTTGGAGTTCTCCTTGTTAAAGCATATTAAGCCTCTGGATGTGATGGAACCTATTACAGTAGCATAATGCGAGTAGGCGAAATGGGAATATTGCCGATTCTGAGAGTAGACGAAATGGGAGTAGGCGAAATGGGACGTAGGCGAAATGGGACGTAGGCGAAATGGGAGTAGACCAACTGGGATGTTTCCATTTAAACGTAGGTGACATTTAAACGTAGGTAACATCTGTTGCTGATCAGGCTGTCGATTCTAGGGCTTTGTTAGAGGTACGGTCAGCCGGCCCAAACAGCCAACCTAGTATTTTAGCCTTTTTTACGACAGGTAATTTACGGGAAAAATAGTTAAGCGTTGGTTATGTTAATATTTAAGCGTTGACTTATCAACCGAAGAAAATTATGCTCGCAGCATATCGCGCCACGCTTCCCCCTATTCTAATGCACATGAAAATGGCGCTCGGACGTCGGTCGCCGTTGACGGCTAAGATTTTCTCCTGCCGACTTCATACGTTCAGACTAGCCACGGGAGGGCCAACGGCACGTGAGCACGGTAAAATCTGATCTACAGATTTCACTTTCACGTTCATTCGATCACCGTTGTCTGCGAGATATTGTTGTAGACACAGCAGAGACGAAACATTACTTTGTAGGAGTTTCTTCCACACTTCCAGCTGTGTTGACACTTTTCTTTATGTGGCGGCTCAAATGTGGAGGACGGGAATCCGTGTTGACCACAATTGTGACCATCAACGCGAGTTGCGAATGATAAATATCTCGCAATGCTTACTATCCCAGTACCCGACTCGCAACTTGCAACTCGTAACTCGCAACTCGCAGCTCGCAGGTTACCAACGCTGTGAACTTATACCCTTATGATTCGCAGGGCTGCGTATAACAACCGGACATACATGCATGATAATCCTTCACTGACCCTTCATCGACCTTCAGTTTCGTACCACAATCCTTCACTGATACGGACGTAGGCCTATATAAAATAATATCTATTGAGGCGAATAAGTGAATGTCGTCATAGATAAAGTGGTAGCAAAAAAATGTGCTATTTGCACTTTTCTCACTGGGGATGATTTTGAGGAAGAAGAGAATGGTATATGGAAAATGGTTCAGGCAGCGGTCGATGCTGTGGACGATTGTAGAGTATGATTGTTGAGTTGCGGTGGCTCAAAAATTTGAAAAACTATGATGTGGCAGGAAATGACGTCGGGTGACCTCTGAACCTATCTTGTGGTATATCACGTGCGTATAACTAACAATTGTGGTCAACACGGATTCCCGTCCTCCACATTTGAGCCGCCACATAAAGAAAAGTGTCAACACAGCTGGAAGTGTGGAAGAAACTCCTACAAACTAATGTTTCGTCTCTGCTGTGTCTACAACAATATCTCGCAGACAACGGTGATCGAATGCACGTGAAAGTGAAATCTGTAGATAAGATTTTACCGTGCTCACGTGCCGTTGGCCCTCCCGTGGCTAGTCTGAACGTATGAAGTCGGCAGGAGAAAATCTTAGCCGTCAACGGCGACCGACGTCCGAGCGCCATTTTCATGTGCATTAGAATAGGGGGAAGCGTGGCGCGATATGCTGCGAGCATAATTTTCTTCGGTTGTTCTCATACGTTCAAACTGGAGCGGGACGCGCCCACGGCACGCGTACATGGCAAAATCAGATCTACATAATTCACTTTGCTCGTAGCATCGTGCACCGATATCCCGCCTATCCGAATGCACAGAGCATTGGTGCTCGTAATGTCTGTCCAGATGAGAGACCGGATACCAGAGAAGCGTCGCCTGAGAGGTGTTGATCCTGCCCGCTGAGCGCAGATCTTGCGCGCAGTTCCGCGGCAAGGCGCACGCGCGCGCATTGCAGACCGGGCGCGCATTGTAGATTTTGTAGATCGGACTTGATCATGTAGGCATGCCACACTCCAGATTAAATGCATAACATCGGCTCTACGTTATTTCTTATGGGCGACAGGTCGCCGACGTGTCCGCGCCCCATGCATCCCTGTACATTGGTATAGCAACGGATCTCCCACAAAGCATGGCCACTATATTGAAGTAGCGAGGGTGCAATTTTCGATGCGCACCTTCTGTAGGCATGCCACCCTCCAGGTTAAATACTTAACGTCGGCCCTACGTCATTTACTTTGGGCGACTGATCGCCGACGTGTCCGTGCCCTATCCATGTGCTAGCCACATTCTTCTGCTTAGCAGCTGCTATTTT